CCGCCGTCGCCCCTTCTTGGCTTGAGGCGCCCGCCGCCGCCACCTCACGCCGGTTAACGGCCGCCGGGGGCTCGTGCCCCCGCTTCCCCCCGCCGCTGACGGGGCGGCCCCGCAACCAATGAGCGCCCGCAACGTCAGGCGGCGGGGCGGGGCTCGGCCCGGTCTCCCTCAGCCGCCGCCGCCGCCACCCGGGGCCGGCCCCGGGGCAGGGGGGCCGCGGGGGGGGGGGAGGGCGGAGCGAGGCTTCCCGGGAGCGCCCCGTCGTTCATCCCGCCCTCCGTTTCAACCGGGTCCCGCACCGGCACCCGCCACCCGCGGCTCCGCGCTAGTTCCAGTCAGCCCGAGGTTTGTTGGAGGTCGCTGAGGCGCGGAGGGGCCCTTCTTGGCGGGGGGGTCCCTTCTTGGCTCCGCCGTGGCCCCGGGGGGGTCCGGAGAGCCGGTGGGCGCCCCGCTGCTATCACTGCTTCATTATCAAAGGGAAAATCATTTTGTTTTTTGGGGGGAAGCCATCCAGCCCCATGGTTTCTGAAGGCTGCCGTGAGGGCATCCTGAAGCGATGCCACCTCGCTGGCACCGTGATGGCGGAGGTGGTAATTAGCACCTGAGGTCATTCCCACAGCACACATCAGGGGGAAAAATCCCCAGGTGGAAAGGGACGGGTGGACACATAAATCCTGAAAGCAGCAGATGCTGGGGGAAGTAAAACCATTATTTAATGACTTTTAGTAGTTAAGAATTTTAAGTCATTCCTGCAGCTTCTCAGGCCCGTGTCAGGCAGGGGTTGGAACTCGATGGTCTTTCAAGTCCCTTCCAACTCTTAACCATTCTGGGAGAATGACAGCTCGGTGCTTGGGGTCAGCGTATTCAGAAAGATCCTCTTCTCCTCATATGGTCCTTGGCCCCTAGTTGACTTTGGTGGCATCTGAGCCAGGTTCCTTGTGCTCAATCCAGGAGGTGCAGGAGAGTCTCAGGATTTCTTGGGACTCACCTGAAGTGATACGGGCACAAACGTCTCATGTGGTCATCATTTTGGGACAGCTCATGACTTCTGTTACATAAAAGGCTTGCTCCTGCCATCATGTTTGATACTAAGAGGACCAAGCCACAGCTGACGGGGAGTTGCTTGCTCCTTGAGAAGTCTGGGAGCACGTCTGGCTTTGTTCTCCCAGTTTTCAGTGTGATACTGCCGTTCCTGACACCAAGCAATGTTTGACTGGAATTATTCTGTCCGAGTAAACGTATCGACCTCGGGCTTGTGATCTTTGTTTGATGTCGTGTCAGGACAAGTCAGTGAGAGATGGGAGTGCTTAAGGATTTGTTTTAAATTCAGGTTTTCCCATCCTGCCCCTTTCCACAGCAACTTGCATCACTGGAAGTGTCCAAGGCCAGGCTGGATGAGCAACCTGGTCTGGTGGGAGGTGTCCCTGCCCAGGGCAGGGGGTTGGAACTCGATGATCTTTAAGGTCCCTTCCAACCCAAACCATTCTGTGATTCCATGAACTGCATTTACCTCTGTCCCCAAATGACGGCCGCTGGTATCTTCCCCTCTGCGAAGCCGCAGACTCCTGAACCAGTACATTTGGCTTCTTGCTGTACACCCAGCACCCTCTGCTTCTCTCCTGCCTCTCACAAGACTTCAGAAGTCCATTTTTGTTGTCACAGAGTCCAGCCCACAGAGTCAGTGCAACAAGGTTCGATGTGCAAAATAATTTTAAATAAATCATTTATTGACAACCATTCTCAAAGCAAAGTAATATTGTTCTCTCCATAACGCTTTTCAAAATAAGGGTCTTTTTCCAATTAGGTTGGTTATCTCGACAATCACAGAATCACAGAATCGCAGAATCTTCTAGGTTGGAAGGGACCTTAAAGATCATCTTGTCCAACTGTCAACCTAACTGACAAAAATAGACACCCACACAACAAACAAGAAGCATCACCATCACTAGACCATACCTCCCAGCACTACATCAACCTGTCTTTTGAACACCTCCAGGGATGGTGCCTCAACCACCTCCCTGGGCAGCCCATTCCAATGGCTGATAACCCTTTCAGTGAAAATTTTTTTCCTAATATCCAGCCTGAACCTCCCCTGGCGCAACTTGAGGCCATTTCCTCTTGTCCTGTCGCCTGTGACTTGGGAGAAGAGACCGACCCCCACCTCTCTACACCCTCCTTTCAGGGAGTTGTAGAGAGCAATAAGGTCTCCCCTCAGCCTCCTCTTCTCCAGGCTGAACACCCCCAGCTCCCTCAGCCTCTCCTCATAAGACTTGTGCTCCAGACCCCTCACAAGACAAGTTTGACTTTGTGTCCTTTCCCACATTCTCAAGAGCTCAAGAGCATTGGAGCCACAGCTGTTTCCTTCACTGCGGCTCCTCAAGGTGCACGCTGGAGTTAGGACTCTTGGGCACTTTTAGTGGTCCTGGGGAAAGAGGCTGAAGCTGCTCATGCGCTCAGAGAGCTCGACCATCATACTAATTAGTTGGGCTCAAGCCCTGCAAGCCCAACTTGCAGCTGTGAGAGTCCCTAGCTTGGAGGAGACCCTCCCCCAGCCAAAGAGACAGGGAGATCTTTGCATGGTTCCTTCAGCCCGCTCCCCCTTTGTGCACCATTGTAGGGGAACGGGTGTAACTGGGTGCAAACTTACCTTCACCCCAACTGATGCCCCTTTCCCTTCCCATGGGGAGCTGGAGGCAGGAGCACTGTCCCGCAGAGGGACCACATCTGGGATGCCCTGGGTGGTTTTCCTCACAAACTCTCACCAGTAACTCCCCAGGGAGGCAGCAGACATCTGAATCACTTTCTCTCACCTGCTTGTGACAACACCACAAACTTAATAACGACATCCTTGCATCATACCATCCTATCATTTCCTCTTTTTCTCTTTTTTTTTTTAACATCCAGCGTTTAATAAAACTCTCACTCTAACTAAACTGGGAAGAGAACTAAGGGAGCTTTCAGGTGTAAGATTTACAGCTGTTGTTTAAGCACAGATTCTGCAGATTCATCAGAGAAGTCATTCTCACTGCTTGGAAAGCACCTTGGCCATCCCAGCTGCCGCTAGCAACGAGAGCAATACAGAATGATGATACTCAGCAATGGTGTTCACAGTTTATTAAACACCATAAATTATTCTGAAGACTTGGTTTGATCTCAGAGCATACAGAATCCATCAGTTTTGTAAACTTTCCTGCTCCCAAAGTAGGTAATAGAAAGCCTTACATAATTTTTCTATAACAGTTCAGTTGAGTTGAAATGTTAAATAACCATTCCTAAAATAGCTAACAATTTTAAAGCAATTCATCCTTTCTTTCTTGGGGAAAAATTACTTGATCCCTGAACCTGTACCCACAAGTTCTTAACTATTTCTTCACAAAGTTGTTACAGGTAGAGCCGCACCATAAGCGAAAATTCCTTTATATAAGGGGATTGATGCTATCTACTGATTTCAGTGTGAGCAGCGGAAAGAAAAATGTATCTGATTTTCTGAAAGTCTCAGAGGGCAGGAGCGCAAATTAAAATCAGTGGTGTTATTTTGCTGTTTATTATCGTCTCCCTTAAGTTTGCTTAGGTGAGAAAATCTATGGGAAACTGCCTGGGACTGGCTTTCCTCATAAATAAACAAATACTAATAGTTCCCTATCAATGTTGGTTTAATCGCTCTGTGCTTGTTTGTGTAGGACCTTCCTTCCGTTTCCCTTCACTCCATTTTCCAACTGCCTGGACAGCAATGTCCCTTGTGATTCTGCTCCCACCATTGCCTTTCTTAACTCCCTATTTACTATATATTTATTATTTAGCGCTTATTGTATTTATTTATTTGTTTATTGCTTATTATATTTAGTATTTAGTGCTCCTTGTGCTTCGTAGTAAAACTGCAAGATACTCGGGGCTGGCTTTTCAATGCTGGAAGGGGGTTATGCTCCCTCTTCTGTCCTCCTCCTCTTTGGAGGACCTGCTCTTTCTCCCCTGGGGAGTGAGAGAAGAGCCCTGAGCTGGATGCTGGGGTGACAAACAGCCGACGAGGGTGAGGGTCCCTGCTGTCAGCCCCTCCTCAAGGATTCCCGGAGACCCTAGGGGAGCACCCCCTGAGCCTCTGGAGGGCGAGGAGGGAGACCAAGTTAGATGAGAAGACTTGGGGAGAGTCCTGACAGGGCTGCATTTGTCTCCTGCTTTACTTTGGATGCTTGTAGAGCAGCATTGATTGGGGTAACTGAGGGGATTCTTATTTTGAGAGATACCTACCTTCTCCTGACCATTGCAACCTCTTCTTCTCAGCGGTAACTAGCAGCTATGAGTTTCACATATCACTTAATCATTTCATACCATAAAATGTATTTCCATCCCCAGCATTCCGCTTGCCCCTTTGTACCCGTTGCTTTTCATTTCCCTCGAGTGCCACCTTTTCTCATGAGGAACGAGAAGACGACGTTGCAGGTTCAACCCTCCCACCACCTCTCCCTGTGCCTTCCCTGAATCCGGGCTGCTGCCTCTTGTTTGTCTGCTCCCCGACGTAAACACGGGTGATCTTTCCTCACAGGGGAGTGTGCCCGTGACTCCTCCACAGGAAAACAAAGAAGTCACCAGAGAAGCACTTCTTTATCCACACCAGCTTCAAATGGTGCGAAGGAGCAAGAAGCCAAGGTGGTTCTCTTGAGCAAGCCCACGTGTAAATAACTCTGGCAGAAGGCCCAAAGGAAGAGGAACACTATTTGCCTGGTAATGAACAAATGGCTCGATTTCCTGCAGGAAAAATATTTTTTTTCTGCTTTATTGAGCTTTCCCTCCAAGAAAAAATAAATAAATAAATAAATAAATAAAATAAAGTGATTTTCTCCACATAAAGTATTTCCAGATGCGCAACTAACGTGCTGTGTGTATCAACAGCTTGATAATAACATGTCATGCAAAAAATAAATAAATAAAAAAAAGAAAGTGATTTTCTCCGCATAAAGTATTTCCAGATGCGCAACTAACGTGCTGTGTGTATCAACAGCTTGATAATAACATGTCATCACTTGACCTTGCAACGGGGGGGAAAAAAATGAAAAAGGCAGAATTTTCTGAAATTATGCCCTTTCATGGGAACATTTTTTTAAAGCCCATGAATTCTGGGAAAAGACTTTTAAATAAAATTTGATTATTTTTTTTACTCATTTCCATTTTTTTCACGGCTAATTAGCAAGCTGAATAGGAAAATCTACAACGCTGACCAGAAACGGAGCCAAGCGATTATGTGCACTTCTCATAGGAGATAAATGAACCCTGAAAGAGCTATAGCCAGATTCTCTTTGATCATCCTTTTTTTTTAATATCCCAAGCCAAATAAGTTTTTGAAAGACCCTTACTTTTAGGCATTTTGAACAAATATTTTGCCTCGCTAACAAGTGGGCCGTGTTCTCAGGCACTGGTTATTTCTCTCTAAATAAAAAGTAATAGTTCCTATATATTTTGGATACTGCACTCGCTTCTCTCCCCCACCTTGCCCCACTTTTTCTAGGAATGGCTGAAGAAAAAGCCTGTCAAAGACATGGCAGGATTTAGCAGCTTCTGAGTTATATATAACCTGAACAATTAAGCAACTTAATTTTCTAAAGTCTTACCTATTTATATTCCCGTTAGACCTGGGTAGCCTTTTGTTTAGCCTTCTCCTCAAAGAGGCAACTTTCAATTCTGCATCATCTTCCAGCCCTTCACGTGTAGAGAATTTAATGTGTGGGCTGGAGAGAGACAGAGGGGCCAACTACTCTTAGTAGCGAGTAGTGACAACTTGAAAACAGAGTAAAAGAGAATATCTTGGCATCTCAAGATGGCAGAGAGCACTTTGGATGAGAAAACCAACATTAACGAAGCTGCAGCTACCTGGAATTTGGCCGTGTTATCCTATCTCCTCTACTCTTCTGGCACATAACAGAGTAAAAGAGAATATCTTGGCATCTCAAGATGGCAGAGAGCACTTTGGATGAGAAAACCAACATTAACGAAGCTGCAGCTACCTGGAATTTGGCCGTGTTATCCTATCTCCTCTACTCTTCTGGCACATGTCATGGGAACCTTCCTAACCACATTGGTTGCCCTCCTGGTTTTGCATCTCAGGAATCTTCCCACAGGCCAGTGCCTGGAGCATCCTGCAAACACCTTCCTTCCCCACCGATGCAGAGGAAAGTGTGCCACCTACTGAAGGACCTCAGCCACATTCTGCACGACTTGGGCTTTTACCTAAATTCTTTCCCATTCCTGAACTTGCCAGGCCTTCACACTTCACATTTGATTTAGAAATCAGCCTTTGGTTTGTGAAAGTTTGTGAACTCAGCAATTGGAAGGTTGTGAAGATGGACATGAGCGAATATAATCCAGGCTGGTTCTGTCTAATTAATGCGTAAGCAGCGTAATTTGAGATAAAAATAAATCCTCTGTCCTGAAAGCAAGTATGAGCTTTTCCCTTACATCGCCACGTTTGCCAGAAACGGGATAAATATCAAGAATTATCTCTATAACTGTAAGAAAAGATTAGATTTCATAGAATCATAGAATCATAGAATGGTTTGGGTTGGAAGGGACCTTAAAGATCATCTAGTTCCAACCCCCCTGCCCTGGGCAGGGACACCTCCCACCAGACCAGGTTGCTCAAATAGCCATCCAGCCTGGCCTTGAACACCTCCAGTGATGGGGCATCCACGACCTCCCTGGGCAACCTGTTCCAGTGCCTCACCACCCTCACTGTAAAGAATTTCTTCCTAGTATCTAACCTAAATCTCCCCTCCACCAGCTTAAAACCATTGCCCCTTGTCCTGTCGCTACTCTTCTTTGTAAAGAGTCCCTCTCCGGCTCTTTGGGGATTTGGGGATAATGGGTACAAGGCATGGATGTTGGTGTTGGTGATACTGGCATACACAGTATTTGCAGTTTAGGTATTAATTGGGCTTTTTTAACAAATGAGTGAACAACTTTACTGCCAAACAGTAGTTACCTTTGCTAGTGCGCTCTCTTCAGCTAATCATTTGGTTGAACAACCTCAAAGGAAACTTTACACAGTTGTTGTCATAACTTGTTTGACACACCTAGAGGAGCAGCTTTCGGTTACCTGTGTCTCATGCCACTGAGTTATTCATGCAGAGTAATGCATCGTTTTTGCTATCAAAGTAGTTGAAACAGACGACACTGTTGTTTCAGCTGTTGTATTAGTGGATCATAAATAAATGTTTTAACAAGACCAATCGCTTTTATTAAAATCTGTGGAACTGGGTAACTGAAAAACTTTCAGTTTTGAGGCTCACCAGAGCCTTTCACTGTGAAGTAAGCGATATAAATTCTGCTCATGTCCATTACAGTAGATAATCAAAACATCTGAAGTTGTGATTCACTGAAATTAACAGATAATCTATGTCTTTACAGCTTATCACACTTCCGTATTGGACTTAACTTGTTCATAAGAAACATTGTTCTCAAAAATTTTGTTCCTAAGAAATACTGTTCTCAAAAATTCCCATGAAGAATTTAATCAAAACTTAAGGTGGAAAGTAAAGAAATGAAATAATGTTTTAGAATATATAACTTAATATATTTACAGTTTGAAAATGTGTATTATAAAAGCTTGAAGTGTTTCTACCAGTTTTTCACAGTGTGAACCAACCTGCCATCCAGGACATTAAAATCTCTGTAATACCTGAAACTGTACCATTCATGGTTTCACGTAGGTAGGAGACAGAAGGGAAATAAAATTCATTGTCAGCAGTGAGAGATCTCAACAGAGAGAGATCTAACTCTAGACTCACCACCACGTTACAGGGTCTATACTAGCTGTCACCGAGCAAAAAACGGTGTGGAGGTCATTGTAGTCAGTTTCACTGAATTTCACTGTATTTTTAGAGCTGGAAGGGACCATAGAGATCATCTAGTCCAACTCCCCTGCTGAAGCAGGACCACCCAGAGCTTGTCAGAGCATGTTACTCAGGACTGCATCCAGGCGGGTCTTGAAAATCTCCAGAGAAGGGGACTCCACACCCTCCCTGGGCAGCCTGTTCCAGGGCTCTGTCACCCTCACCCTGAAAAAGTTCTTCCTCATATTCAAGTGGAGCCCTTTATGTTCCAACTTGTGCCCATTGCCCCTTGTCCTCTCACTGGCAACTACTGAAAGGAGTCTGGTTCCCTCCTCTCTCAGCCCGCCCTTGAGATACTTGTAGGCATTAATAAGGTCTCCCCTCAGCCTTCTCTTCTCCAGACTAAAGAGTCCCAGCTCTTTCAGCCTCTCCTCATAAGGGAGATGCTCCAGTCCTTGAATCATCTTTGTAGCCCTACGCTGGACTCTTTCCAATAGTTCCCTGTCCCTCTTGAACTGGGGAGCCCAGAACTGGATGCAGTACTCCAGTTGTGGCCTCACCAGTGCAGAGTAGAGGGGCAGAATGACCTCCCTTGACCTGCTGGCCACACTCTTCCCTATGCAGCCCAGTTCTGGACAACTATCAGCTCGGTGTTCAGCGGTGGCCGAGATGACAGAGCAATTATCGGGAATCATTCAGAAATGAAAGGGATAACAATACTACAGAGCTGTGTATGTCCAGGGTGGCATGTACCAAATGCGCTTCTGAGTCATCTTCTGCCCACTGCGCCCAGTGGGACCTCTCAGCTGGCTAAATCCTGGGGACAACTATCAGCTCAGTGTTCAGCGGTGGCCGAGACAACAGAGCAATTATTGGGAGTCATTCAGAAATGAAAGGGATAAAAACACTACAGAGCTGTGTATGTCCAGGGTGGCATGTACCAAATGCACTTCTGAGTCATCTTCTGCCCACTGCTCCCAGTGGGACCACTCAGCTGGCTAAATTCTGGGGCTGCGAGCCAGCGGTGGCTGCTGTGGTGGTAGCCCTTCAGGAGAGGGTTTTTCCTACCTGTGAACCCTCCTCGAGCTCCCTCCTGAGGCATGAGCAACAGCCACCGGGGCTCTCAGGCACAGGAAGGGTTTTGTGGATTACGAAGGGTGGCCATCCCTTCGATAGCATCTATTAAATTATTAATCATGATGAGAGGCTGAGCCAGAAGGGAACACTCGCTTTGGTATTCTCAAAATTAAAAAATTAATAGGATGCCGTCCCTCATTCCCTCCCTTCGTCCAGGAAAACTACCAGATAGCAGATTTAAAACAAGCAAAAAGAACCACTTTCAGACACTTCATGGACTTGGGGCCAAAGAATGCAGTGGGGTACCATAGTGCCTTCCAGTACCCAACGGGGCTACAGGAGAGATGGGGAGGGACTTTTGATCAGGGAGTGGAGTGATAGGACAAGGGGAACGGTTTTAAACTGGAAGAGAGGAGATTTAGACTAGATATTAGGAAGAAATTCTTTCCTGTGAGGGTGGTGAGACACTGGAACAGGTTGCTGAGGGAAATTGTGGCTGCCCCATCCCTGGAGGGGTTCAAGGCCAGGCTGGATGGGGCTTGGAGCAACCTGGTCTGGTGGGAGGTGTCCCTGCCCAGGGCAGGGGGGCTGGAACTCAGTGATCTTTAAGGTCCCTTCTAACTCTAACCATTCTATGTTTCTATGAAAACAAAGTTCGCCTCATTAGCTGTGACATAATCTGTTATCAGCTATTAAAGAAATGGCCCAGATGCACACAGATGTTCAGAGGCTCAGTCCCTAAACCACCTGCTGACTGGCAGAAGAGGGTGTATCACAAAAAAGATCAGGGGAGAAAAAGAGGAAATTCTTTCTCTAAGCCTCGTAACTGGCCGCAGTTGAAGGACAATAAATCACGAGGAGCTTTCCTGTGGCTGCAGTAGTTGCAGCTCTTAACCTTCCTACCAATTTATGGTGGCTTTTTTCAGTCACAATTAGCCCCTCTTTCTGTAAATGTGACTACTTTTGGTGATTTTCAGTTTATATGGATTATATGGAGATTCCATATGAAAATTCCATGGAGAAGCATTCAATGAAAATTTCAGTTCATCCTTGAACTGTTTTTCTTCTTCATAATGAGAGGTATTGCAGAGCATGTTACATTTTCTGCTTTGAAAACAGAAATGCATTAACAGATCTCCAGCTGGGTACTGATTTGTCATGATTCAACCAATTCTAATAGTTAAAAGATCAATATCAACTCTATTTGCTGAACACCACAAGTTTATAAATGTGAAATACCCAGACAGCAAACTTTGTATTAACTGATTTTTTCAACTTCTAATATTTTTGAGCCATTGTCAGCCCAATTAAGTGTTCGGCACATGTTTTGCATTTCAGAATCCATACACCATTCATCTGTAAAGAGGTATGAAAGGGATGTGAGTCATTAGTCATCGTCAGGAAACACGTTTCTGAAAAATTAATACATGACCAGTTGCCGGTAAGTAGCAATCTGCTACATATACGAACAAAGTATGTTATAAAGCTACATATTTTAATGATAGTCTTTAAATGTTAAAATTGTAAACTGTAATGGAAACAACATTTCTCTAATGGAATATTTAATATCACTTAAGACCCACTAAGGACTGCGCAATAATTCCTGCATCAATGGGAGGTGGGTAAAATTGCATGGAGTCAGTGTGGAACAGTAAAGTCTGAAGTCAAGCTGGTGTGTAAAGATATACTTACTGTTAAGTGCAGGAATAAACCTAGTGATTTCAGGGATGTTCTCCTGGGATTAAAGTTAAACAAATGCTTAATTGTGCTAGACTTTACAATCCTGTGCCCTCCATCCTTTCTCATAGACAGTGACATTTCTTACACACCTCCAGGAGTAGAAGTATGATTTGGCCCAAATCAGTACACTAATACAGACACTTCTCCATTGCCAGTGACAATTAGTATGCATGTACATTGTTTTCTTACTTTTTGAGAATTAGTGGCTTTTTCATGTGGGTGGACACTACTGGATTTCAAGAGGTTGCATGTTGTTTGTTAATTATTTCAGTTGTGGTCTCAGTATAATTATGAGGAATCCTGGGAAAAGGAAAAAAAAAGGAGTCAGATTGTCTTTTTAGTCAATAAGGACATTGACAGACTCTTCAAAATGCATTTTTACCCTAAAGCTAAACATTTTAACTGCCGCTGTCATGACAATATTTTGTTAAGGAACTAGCAAGAAGCCTGTTCAGTTGGGGAAAGAAAGTCAGTTGGTGGATACCAACATGAATAAGTACAGATTAATTTCTGGGCTTACAGCATGACCATCCACGTTCCTGGCTCAAGGTCCCTGGACTGAAAAAATGACTAAAAGAGAAAATGAAAGCAGCATCTTCATTTAAACTGTAATTATATTTCAATAATCCAGAAATTTCTGAAACTACAGAAAAGTTGGCAGCAGCTAACCCTGTGAGCAGTGGGCGTGGAAGCCTCACTCACACCCATGTAATAAATTAAAGGTCATCATTTTGTCCTACTTTCTCTGCCCTAGGTAGGTGTAAAGGTCTGTTAAATAGTTTAGGTGAAATGCTTTTCATTCAAAAGATCAAAATTGCATCTTTGGTTTCAGAGCAAGAAAACTGGCTACAGACACTTCATGACTGTAGGCAACAGATGTTGCTGAAGTGGAAATTTACATGGATTTTGGTGAAAAGAATAAAATGTCAAAAATATTCAAGCAGCCAGATATAATAAGACAGCGGGAGATGTTGGAAGGGAGTGAAATCACTGGATCCATGAGGTCAGATACAGCTTAAGACATATTAAAGGAAATAAGAGTAGAATAATCTATTAGAGGAGACAATATATACAGTCCACAGTAGGTGACTGTGCTGACAGTCAACCAGCCTGACACATTTTCTAGTCCTCATCAGTGCCATCCCAACGGGACTTCGATGGCTGCATAGGTGTTACCTGTTTAATTGAATATAACAAGTTATTGCCTGCATCCTCTGTGCCATTCAAGCTACCACAGCTGAAGAAGAACATCTGTGGCAAGCACAGCAAACATGTAAGTCCTGAGAAAGCAGAAAGGTTCAAGTTTGGCTTCAGTGAAGCGCCGTTGGTGCAATCAAGAATAAAACCTTCTTCTGAGTGAAGTAGTTGGGCCAACAAATCAGGTAGCTGGAGATCTAAACTTGTCTGCAGTTTGGGATCTTTAACTATGCTGCCTGGGACTGACCAGCTGATTTACAGTGCAGTATTTCCAAGCTTTTTCATTTCCCTTACCTGCCTCTCCAAGGAAACAGCGCACAGGAGACAGCGCAGCGGTTAGAAATGGTGCAGAACTAGATCTTCCCTCCATACCGTAAGTTCTGGTGCCAGAACAGACTGGTATGGAAATCTGAATCCAAACTCATTTAAAGATATTTGGATTTTTAATTTGGACCTTATTACTTTTCAACCAGACTGGTACAACACAGAGGACAGCAAAGCTCTAGCTACGCTGGTCAATGAACCAGGCTCAGGCCCCTTCTCTCTCCCTGAGGACCTGCATCTTTAATGCCTTCCCAAAATAGAGAGGTGTCACACACAGTACCTGGCAGGAAGAGCCCTGAGGCTGCTCCCCAGGCTGTGCTCAGCTGGGCCTGGCACAGGCTGCTCTTTGGCACAAGCCAAAACCCTGCCAGGAAACATAGAATGGTTTGGGTTGGAAGGTTGGGTTTAAAGGTCATTGAGTTCCAACCCCCCTGCCATGGGCAGGGACACCTCCCACCAGACCAGGTTGCTCCAAGCCCCATCCAGCTTGGCCTTGAACCCCTCCAGGGATGGGGCAGCCACAGCTTCTCTGGGCAACCTGTTCCAGTGTCTCACCACTCTCAAAGGAAATAATTTCTTCACAATATCTAATCTAAATCTCCCCTCTTTCAGTTTAAAGCCATTCCTCCTCGTCCTATCGCTCCACTCCCTGATCAAGAGTCCCTCCCCATCTCTTCTGTAGGTCCCCTTTAGGTACTGGAAGGCTGCTGTAAGGTCTCCCCGGAGCCTTCTCTTCTCCAGGCTGAACAGCCCCAACTCTCTCAGCCTGTCCTCATAGCAGAGGTGCTCCAGCCCTCTGATCACTCTGATCACAACGTGCACGACCGCATGCAGAGGTGTGATGGTTTTGGCTGGGGTGAGAGTTGGTTTTCTTCACAGTAGCTACTAAGGGGCTGTGTTTTGGATTTGTGCTGGAAAAAGTGGTGATAACACAGGGGTGTTTTTGTAATTGCAGGGCAGCGCTCACACAGTCAAGGCCTTTTCTGCTCCTCACACCACCCCACCAGTGAGGAGGCTGAGGGGGCACAAAAAGCTGGGAGGGGACACAGCCGGGACAGCTGATCCCATCTGACCAAAGGGATATTCTGTACCATACTGATATACCATTAGAGCACTGGAACAGGCTGCCCAGCGAGGTGGTGGAGTCTCCTTCTCTGCTGGAGATACTCAAAATCTACCTGGATGTCTTCTTGCCCAACCTGCTCCGGGTGACCCTGCTTTGGCAGGGGGGGGTTGGACTAGATGATCTCCAAAGGTCCTTTCCAACCCCTGCCATCCTGTCATTCTGTGATATGACATCATGCTCAGCATGTAAAGCTGGGGGAAGAAGAAGGAACGGGGGGACACGTTCGGAGTGATGGCGCTTGTCTTCCCAAGTAACCGTTACACGTGATGAAGCCCTGCTTTCCTGGAGATGGCTGCACACCCTCCTGCCCATGGGAAGCAGTGAATGAATTCCTTATTTTGCTTTGCTTGCGTGCAGGGCTCATTAAACTGTCTTTATCTCAACCCACGAGTTTTCTCACTTCTACTCTTCCGATTCTCTCCCCCATCCCACCGAGCGGCTGCGTGGAGCTTAGTTGCCAGCGGGGGTTAAACCACAACAAGAGGGAGAAACCCATGCCCTGGCCCTGTGTGACAAACGAAGGCAGAAGTAGCCTAAGAGAATGAAAAGATACGCAAATTGGAAAGTCAAGGGATCGCTGGCAATATGCAAAAAGGGAAATGAAGCGCGTCTTGGCAAGGAGTGAAAAAATAAAATTCTGCTGGATGGGAAGAGAAGAAGTACTGAGAAGGAAATTATCTCAATTCAGGAAGCACTTAATAATGTGTTTTAAGTTAAAGCATATGCTTCAATATTTTTATACCGATAGTCTGTGTGCCTCAAGTTAGGCATATATTTGAGCAGCTTGCTGAGCTGGGGCTCTGCAGTGAAGTTTCACAAGCTGCTTACAGTGATATAAATCCATAGCGTCACTGAGAGACACCATAGAATCATATGGGGTCAGAAGGGACCTCCTGGGGCTCTGCACTGAAGTTTCACAAGCTGCTTACAGTGATATAAATCCATGGTGTCACTGAGAAACATCATAGAATCATATGGGGTTGGAAGGGACCTCTGGAGATCATCAACTCCAATCCCCTCACTGAAGTGGGTCTACCTAGAGCAGGTTGCACAGGAACTTGTCCAGGTGGGTTTGGAATGTCTCCAGAGAAGGAGACTCCACCACCTCTCTGGGCAGCTTGTTCCAGTGCTCTATCACTCTCACAGTAAAGAAGTTCCTCCTCACGTTTAGGTAGAACTTCTTATACTCAAGTTTGTGCCCATTTCCTCTAGTCCTGTCCCTGGGCACCACTGAAAAAAGACCAGCCCCGTCCTCCTGGCACCCTCCCTTTAAGTATTTGTAAGCATTGATCAGATCCCCCCTCAGCCTTCTCTTCTCAAGACTTTGGTTTTTTTGTGGTTTTTTTTGTGGTTGGACGCGATGATCTCTGTCTCATAAGAGAGGTGCTCCAGGCCCTTAATCATCTTTGTGGCCCTCTGCTGTACCCTCTCCAGCAGTTTCCTGTCCTTCTGGAACTGGGGAGCCCAGAACTGGACCCAGTGCTCCGGATGGGGTCTCACCAGGGCAGAGCAGAGGGGCAGGATGAGCTTCCCCTTCCTGATGTCCCTAGCCCTGTTGTTCCACCACCCCTCCTCCGCTGGCACCAGTACTTGTGTGAGCTGTGCTGGCAGCAGCACCAGCAATGCATTTGCAGTGGGGGCTGGAGGATGAGGCAAAACTGGCTTTTTCAGCATCTGCAACTGAACTGGACACTCGTAGAACCTCACTCTGTGTGTCCTCATCCACTCCACTCCTCCTCCTTCAGCAAAGCTAAATAGAGACTTCAATCTTACCTTCCATGGGCCACCTGAGCCTTCACAACCTTTTCCTGAAGGACTTAAATAAGCACCATATCTCTGTGCAGACATGGTGTAAGATCCAGCTACGTGACTGGAAATAAATAAATAAATAAAAAATACTAATTTGCATTTTCAGAACAAACATTTCTAAAAATTGTGGGATTTATTTTTTTGCCTGAAGAAGTGCCTGACAGATGGTTTGAGTGAGGGGTGGCGAGGCACTCAAACACTACCAACTTCCTAGTGTTCTGTCAGCTATTTACAGTGTCTGTTGCACACGTTCAAACACTGAGAGCACTTCGCCTTCATAAACTCCAACTTTACCTTTTAATGTATAAGAAAAAAAACCTTTAATGTGTCCCATACTGATACCACTGTAATGATATTGCTTGAATTATTGGTCTCCATCATGCAATGTACAGTGCATGTATAGACGAGTTCATTACTCAGGAAGAGACAATAAAATAGCACCAACCATTTAAAACCTATTAATCTGGAGAGCACCATTAGCATAAGCAATACTTTATTATTATCAAATTAAATCCATTATAAGTATCCTGAGTATCCAATCAGGTTAGTAATAAACTGGCTAAAGCTATCTACACGAATGGCTGTACTACTTGATGGAATACATTTTGTTTTGGTATACATTAATCTTTCAGTGTGCTTTATTTATAACTCTAATAAACTGAGTTTTATAACACATAAAACAGCTAAAAATTTTATGAAAGAACAGTTAGAATGTTTTCATAGGTTCTGTGATCAATTTTTGTTTTCTTTTTAGAGGCTACAAGGTATTTTCTACCGTATCACGGTTCCATCAGTCAGATAATCCTTGATCGCTGTGGAACTTAACTCCATGGTTTTGCCTTCGTATTTTACAGGATTGAGGTTAACGAAAACAGCAATGAAGACCAAGCATAAAATATTTGAAAAAAATAGGATGCAAAATGGATATTCCAGATGACAAGACTCTCGTTGTCGTTGTTCCCACGGAGTCAGAGCCCTAGAGCTGCCTGACCATGGGTGTGCTGGGTCTCCTGGGACAGAACGGGGCTCACACTGCTCCTCAAAAAAAGACTTCAGATACTTAAAAGGAACAGAATAAAGTGAGAGATTTACTAAGGAGAACTTTAAGAAGAAAGGTAAGGTTTTTAACTATTTAACTGAAACGGGTATTTTTATCTTTCTAAGGACACAGATAGGGTTTTTATGAGTTAATTGACTATTTTAAAAGACTGCTATTTCTTGTAAGTGCTACATATGCCAAGTATTGTATGTATGTCTATGTAATGCATGCTAAAATGCAGGATACAGCTAAAAGAAGTCAACTCCATGCCTCCCCTGAAGATTTTGGTGGTGTCTTTATTGTCTGTCTCTTTATTGTGGCTACTCTTGCTGTAGTGTGCAACTGCTTCTAAAAAGATTATTCTCCCAAGCTTTCCATATGAGCAAAAAAATGGGCCTTTTTTACAAATGGGAACCTGAAGCTAAAAGATTTTGACTTCACTTTGTGCTGGCAGGCAAGAAAATCGGGAGGATGCTCTTATTGAGTGGATGCAAGTTCCTCCTTTTTGGTGCCTTTCCACCACACACGGGTGGGAGGTGTTTGTAGGATGGCAAGTGGAATCAAGAACTTGATTTTATTTACCAGAAGTCAGATGTCAAAAGATCGCCATCATTGTCAGCAATTGCCCCCCATATATATATATAAAAAATTCTTAATTGTATAAATATATATATAATTCATATTTTTATATATATGAAATTTTTTCCCAGTGTCTTCCTAGGGCAGTACAACCAGCCTTTCACAGGGACAAAGATGGGATATGTTGTTTGATATGAGGACAGGCTGAGGGAGCTGGGGTTGTTCAGCCTGAAGAAGAGGAGGCTCCGGGGAGACCTTAGAGCAGCCTTCCAGTACCTGAAGGGGGCCTACAGGAAGGCTGGGGAGAACCAGTTTACAAAGACCTGTAGTGACAGGATGAGGGGAAATGGCTTCAAGCTGGAGGGGAACAGATTTAGACTGAAGATTAGGAGAGGGTTCTTCACTGTGAGGGTGGTGGAGCACTGGAACAGGTTGCCCAGGGAGGTGGTTGAGGCCCCATCCCTGGAGATATTCAAGAAGAGGCTCAACGAGGCCCTGGGCAACCTGGTCTAGTTGGGGGTGTCCCTGCTGACTGTGGGGAGGTCGGACTAGATGACCTTTGGAGGTCCCTTCCAGCCTGGGCAATTCTATGATTGTATGATTCTATACCCAGAGAGGGGCAATTTCTATCACTGCCCTGGACTTCCCTCATGCGACTGGGGAAGAACGTGGTAGGACCACCACCAAGTTTAACTGGCCTCCAGTCTCAGTCTGATGTCCCAAGGCCCCAGGACATCAGGAATCCACTAGGATCAACTAAGTCACAGCACGGATGTGCTGGCAGGGGAAAGAAGGGTCTGTGCATCTTTCCTTTGCCAGCCTCTCCCATTTTTCTGGTATCAGCCACATCTTGGTTCTCAGTGCAAGTAGTTTCTTAAGGCTGTTGCAATTTTTCCCCTGATGTAAAGGGATATATGGCTGGATCCTCTCCAATAAACTGACAGGGTAATCATTTATCCACATGAATCAGATGAGTTGACAGTGCAGATACACGGGATGTGTGGTTTGAAGGACACGAATAGTTGCTGCTGTTGCTCAGCCTGAAATGACTTCTCTCCCGAATGCAGCAGGAAAACTTGCCAAGAAAAGTAGACTCTCAGAGCTGAACGTAGCTCAGCGTTACCAGACTGACAATAAGATATGCCTAGTACTTTGAGCTGGCCTCTTTCTGCTTTTTCCAAGGTTCAGCCATAACTATCATTCTTCTGAAAGTCGGATTGTTTCGTGTAATTTTCCGATGTAGAATGACTCAGTTGCTTAAAAGTCTTTGAAATCCAAGAAGAAAAGAATCCAATGGAACCAGATGCAAAATCTACGGAATTTTAAATCTCAGGGCATCTCTCAGGCTCACTTTTTTTTATCAACTAAGTCACAGCACGGATGTGCTGGCAGGGGAAAGAAGGGTCTGTGCATCTTTCCTTTGCCAGCCTCTCCCATTTTTCTGGTATCAGCCACATCTTGGTTCTCAGTGCAAGTATTTTCTTAAGGCTGTTGCAATTTTCCCTGTGATGTAAAGGGATATATGGCTGGATCCTTTCCGATAAACTGACAGGGTGATCATTTATCCACACGAATCAGATGAGTTGACAGTGCAGATACACGGGATGTGTGGTTTGAAGGACACGAATAGTTGCTGCTGTTGCTCAGCCTGAAATAACTGCTCTCCCGAATGCAGCAGGAAAACCTGCCAAGAAAAGAAGACTCTCAGAGCTGAACGTAGCTCAGCGTTACCAGACTGACAATAAGATATGCCTAGTACTTTTTTGAGCTGGCCTCTTCCCGCTTTTTCCAAGGTTCAGCCATAACTATCATTCTTCTGAAAGTCGGATTGTTTCGTGTAATTTTCCGATGTAGAATGACTCAGTTGCTTAAAAGTCTTTGAAATCCAAGAAGAAAAGAATCCAATGGAACCAGATGCAAAATCTACGGAATTTTAAATCTCAGGGCATCTCTCAGGCTCACGAGCTGGCCTCTTTCTGCTTTTTCCAAGGTTCAGCCATAACTATCATTCTTCTGAAAGTCGGATTGTTTCGTGTAATTTTCCGATGTAGAATGACTCAGTTGCTTAAAAGTCTTTGAAATCCAAGAAGAAAAGAATCCAATGGAACCAGATGCAAAATCTACGGAATTTTAAATCTCAGGGCATCTCTCAGGCTCACTTTTTTTTTTACCCTTATTTGTGGGTAAATAAATTTAATTTGAGGATAAGTGATGTAGCGTTCTCCCACAAAATGAATAGATTAAATAGAAGTGAATCCTCTTTGGACATTCTCTGAGGAAATAGTTTTTCTTAGTTAGACTGAACGGATTTACATTCTATTCTGCTTTGCAATGTTTTTACTAAAGTCAAATCAGTCTGTGCATATATAAAGACCAATTCAATTTAGTCTTTCACATTTAAGTCCTCTTTTTAAGCAAAAGGACATTCAGTGATCAACTAAATTACATTATTTACATACACTTTGTGATCCATGCAGCAAAGATAAATACATTCCTCGGTTTCCCTCGGTGAGGTTGCCCTGGGGTTGAGCAGGAACCCTGTAAGATGCAGCTCATGGTGTGGTCCTGCATGTCTTTCCAGCCTGAAGGGGAAGGGGAAAGTTGGTGGGACAGTGGGAACACTGGTCCTTCTCCATATTGACTTCCAGCAGGATCTTGACTCCAATGACTTACTCCAGGACGCACCTCCAGGCCCAAACTCCCAGGGAAGAGGAGCTGCTCTGAGGGGAGTCAGTGCCTGTGCCCCACTGACAGAGCCATGGGGCCAGATGGGGTGTGCTCCCAACCCCATCTGCTTTCTCCCTGCTGGTGAGGAAACATCGCTTGCAGGAGAACTTTGCTGCAACCGGAGCAGGAACCTTCTGGCCCTGCTGAGATTTTGCTCTTGGTTGCTGTCAACAGCCCCAACAGGGCATATTTTCCAGTCAGTCCAGTCTATATTTTCAGGAGAAGGGAAACTTCCACTGGACAAGGAGGTCTTTTTTCACCAAGGCAGGAGACAGTGTCAACTATCAGTTCCACCAGCTGTGCCTGGGGACTCCTCTTAACCAAGGAAGAACGTTATTATTAATGGCGATGCAAATCTTTGCTTACATGGCTTAATGCAAGCGACCAGTGGGACTAACATGCCCCTTTATCTTCAATCAAGGCAGCCTGTGTTTTGCACAAAAACGTAATGTGAAATGTAGATAGAAAAAAGTAGCTTCCTTGTATCTCCATGGCACTAGCAAGGCTTTTTATTTCTTACTGAACTTTTGTTTAAGCCCTGCCAGTCAAGCTTTAGTCATACGCACTGGGAATTTTCTGGTACTGCTGGTGAATTATGTTGTCTGACAAGCAATAACTGTCTAATTTTCAATAACAACATTCATCTCAGCATTTGGTTTAGTTCCAGTGGTACCGCTTTGAAATCTTCCTCATGAACTTCAGTTTTACAATCTAATATTCTTATCTTAATAGTTCTGCAAGATGCAAATGTTGCAAAAAAAAAAAAAAGAGTCAGTTTTCTGACTAAAAGCCTTTCAAAAAAACTTAATTTTCAATTGTGTCCACAGAAAAGACAAATGGACTTGGGAAGAAGACGTAGTAATTCTTCCTGAAGAAATACCTTCTAGTGGCAATTTTCCCTGTGAGGAATTGAATCTGGAAGAACTGTCTCAGAATGCATGGAACTCAAGAGATGTATCAAATCTCTGGAGACCTCCTGAAATCTCTGACCATACCACATTGTTCTTGGCTCTGGCACAATAAGACACAAATGAGCTTTTACTATGTTCTCCGTAGAGCTCTTTTTTAAAGGCTGTTTTCTCTGCTAACACTCTTTCATGTGCTCAGGAAAGTCACATGTTGCCCATCCAGGGGGAAAATGAGTCAGCTGTGCCTATGTGGAATCACGCAAGTAAAAAAGGAATATTGGAGTCAGGAAAAATGCATTTTTTATAGTCTTGAAATTATTTGCAAATATTTGTCCAAATGCTTGAATAGTTTTGAATGCCAAGTGCTTTTGGGCAGGATTGTTTTCACAGAACTGCAACAGGAACAATGGAGGTTTTCCCTGCATCCCCTTTTTTATTTAATAGCTTAAGGGTTAAAATGCTTACCCAAGGAACGAGTCACACAAGTTCAGTTCTTTGCCCAACTACAAGGCTAAAAAGTCATGGGTATACGTGAATGAGGCAGAAAGTAGATTCAAACTAGCTCTCCCACTATCTTTATATGAGCGCCTTAATGGCTAAGCCATAGGGTGGTTGAATTTTCTACTGCTGACACTTTTTCCTTTGCATAAAACAAGCTGTCAGCAGCCAAGGTCACAATAAGCCCTCAGTCGGAGGGCTTCGGAGATGAAACCTGAACACTAACCTCCAAAATAGAGAGTCAGCAAAAATAATTAAAAGAGCCCTTCCCCACCCAAACATATATATTCTAGCATGTTAGAGAGAATAATAAATGAGAGCTACAGATTCTAGTCTGCTTCTCTACTGAGAAGAACTG